GCCGCCATCACTACCCAGCTTGTCTTTGAAATTTTATTTTATGTGTGTGGGTTTTTGACTGCATGTATGTCTGTGCACATGTAGACAGTGCCCCAGGAGGCCAGAAGAGGGCATCTGCCATGGAATTGGGAGTTAGAGAGCTGCTAGCTGCTATGTGGGTACTGGAAATTGAAACCAGGTCCTCTACAAGAGAAAAGTAAGTGCTTTTAACTGAGCCATTTCTCCAGCCCCAGATTTTGGTTTCTTTTAATTTATTCATTGAAAACAATTTTATTTATTTATTTTTTGATACAGTTTCTATAGCATAGCCCTATCCACATATAGATAGAGATCTGCCTGACTCTTGTTTTCCAAGTGCTTGGATTAAAGGCAGGTGCAACCACACCCAGTGAAAGAAAACATTTTTTTTTTTTGAAAGAAAACATTTTCAACATTTGTGTGGTGTGTGTATTTGTGTGTAGACCTCTTGCAGTAGTTGGTTCTTTCCCTCCAACACATGAATCCTGGGGATTATACTCAGATCATCAGGCTTGGTGCAACCTGTTGACATGTACGCTTATCCCCAGATTCCGATGTCTAAAAGCCTTCCAGGCCTTAGGAGTGTGGCTCAGTGATTGACTAGCACGAGTTGAGTCAGGGTTTGGTTCCCAGCATCATAATCACATCACACAAAATCAAGCTGGGTGTGGCTGTATATGTCTGCTATTCCATCAATGGAGAGTCAGAGGCAGGAAGATCATTGCAAGTTTTCCTAGTTCTAGCCAGGAGCATCAAGAAAGTCTTTCTCCCAAAACAAACACAGAGGCTGAAGATCCGGCTCAAAGATTAAGCGCATATATTGCTCTTCCAGAGGACCCAAGTTCAATTCCTAGTACTTATGTCAGGTGCCTCATAATCATATGTAACTCCAGCTCCAGGGGGATTCAACACCTGGGGCTTCTGTGGGCACCTGCACTCACCTATATATACCCCCAGACAGACACATATACACTTAAAAATAATAAAATTAATCTTTAAAAAGCCCCAAAGAACAAAAAACTAACCCCCTCCCAAAATACTGGAAACCTAAACCCAGTCAAACTATTATAAGGTTCCAAAAGCCATCTTTAGGTATAGAGGGTCGGGGGTGACAAGCCTGGGCTTTAAGGATGCCAAAGTTGGCCTGTGCTTTCCCTTCTGACCACAAGACTTCAGGTCTTCAATGAGATGGGGTATCTTATTTCTCCCACCGGAACAAAAGTCCGGTTTGGGGACTGTGAGGATATCTCAGTAAAAGAGATTGATTTTGAGATCCAAACAACACCTAAGGCCGCGTGGAGAGCCCAGTGGATTCATTTACCCCCACCCCCAAGAATGGCAGTTAAGCTCTGGCTCAGGGCTTCTACCTCTCTTTTTGGCAGGTAGCCTTAGTAATTCTGCATACAAGCTGAAAAATCAGTGCTGATGGTGATAAGAGATTACAGTTGTGAGCTTGCATGCAACAGGACCCCAGGTGCCTTTAGCTGCCTCCCAAATACACCACCTAAGTAAGCATCAGTTTTAAGGCTCCCAATGCTGCAGTCCCCCAGCCCCACCCAGACAAATCTAGAGCTTGCTGCATTTTGTAATCTAGAGCTCTACAGGCCACAGTCGGGTTACCCAACTGTAGAGGCCGCACCCGCGTTTCCAGGGCGGGCGATGCCCGTAAATCCTGGCAAGCCCCAGCCTGCTCGGAATTAACGGGTCTGCCTCACCCGGAAAAGAGGAACCCGTGCCTCAGGCCCTCCTCCCTTGTCAGACACCTGCCTTCTAGCGCTACGCGACCGGGCGCTGGAACCACACACCTTAGAAGCCCCAAACCCACCACGGAGCAGAGAAGGGTCGTGCGCCGGAGGCCACGCCGTGGGAGGGCTGCTGCTCTCCCGGGGCTGGCTTAGGTGCGGCCGCGGGACCCGCGCCCTAGGCCGGCCTTCCCCGCTCCGCCACCCTCACCGTCGCCTCACCTGAGACCACCAGTGCCTCGTTGGGCCCCACCGTGTGGCAATTGCCCATGGCGCCGCAGGCAGGCCCTTGGTCTGCTGTGACCGGGAGGGCTGTGGCGGGTCTGCAGCACCGGTCGCGCCCAACCTATCCCGCCTCCCCCAGCGCCGCCTGCCTGCGCCCCTCTGCGGCCGCTGCCCCGCCGGAAGTGTGGCGGCGGAGGGCGGGGCCGACAAGTGGAGAGAGGCGGGAGCCAGCGCGCCTGTAATCAACTCGCTTTATTCCAGGGGGCTTGGTCCCCATAGCACCTTTGGGGCCCATCAGTAGTAACACCTTGCGCTGCGTCACCTCGGGCATCTGCCCTAGAGCAGCTCAAATCCCAGTCTCTGCCCCGAGTCCTTTCCTAGTCCTGCCCGGGTAAGATGGGGGTAAATAAACTACCAGCTAGAAACTTGGCAAAGGGCTCCTGGGTTCAACAACGGTGCATCAAGGCAAAGTCGCCCGCCCTCCCGAGCAGGAGGTGAGGGGTAGGGCTTGGATCTCTCTTCAGGGAAGGGCCCAGAAATCTGAAAATCAAATTCCAGAGCAACACAGTGTCTTGACATATCATCGCAGGATTGGAGTTATTATCCATCGTAGAAGTACTGTTTAGAACAGAAGAGGTCCCAAAACGTAACCAGAGGTAAATGTGGCAACCCCTCAGTGCCCAGGCACACAGCCGAGGCTTTGAGGGGTCCCACCGCACTAGAAATGCATTCTAGCCTGGGGGTTAGGAAAGTTAGTCAGGTAAAGGCCGAGCCTTCATCTGAATTCTTCGCTGTGTCAATTTAGACAAGTCTGGTGAGCCCGGACAGCTATGAGAAAGTCCAGAAACTGTGGTTTTCTCAGGGTAGGGGGCACTCAGAGAAGACAGGGCCCTTGGACCCTGAGGTTGAGGCTCTTCCTCAGGGTCATCATCATCCTCTCCAGGCCCAAGTCCTGCAAGCTTCTTGGTAGCTTTCCACAGCCTGTGGGCAGCCTGGTCATCTCTAGCAGCTGGGGAGACCTCCTCCACGCGACAGTTGGCAAAATATCTCCCACTGAGTGGTTCAATGCCCTCCTGCAGAGCACAGTACAGGGGTGTCTGGGCACCCCCTTGAGGTGCCCGGAGTAGTAGCCAGGCCAGTGGGCGCAAAATAGGACACAGCCATCCAGGAAGGTGACGCAGGAAGAGTTCTGAGTTCACAGGTCCTGTGGGCAGGAAGAAAGAAGAGTTGTGAAGGAAGGAAGGCAGTGGGGGCCCAGGAACAGGCAGGGGTCAAAGGGCTAGGAGCAGATGGCAACATCGGGTTCCAGAGAAAGCAGGTTAGTATCTATCAGGTATTCAGGGCCCCCACAAGGTCACAACCCATTTCCTCTTTTTTTTTTTTTTTTTTTTTTTTTTTTTTTTTTTTTTTTAATTTCGGGGACAGGGTCTCCCTGTCTCTCTGCCCTGGAACTCACTCTGTAGACCATGCTAGCCTTGAACTCACAAAGATCACCCACTTCTGCCTGCTGGGTACAGGGATTAAAGGCATGAGCCACCACTGCTCATCGACAACCCATTTCTACTGGAAGCCTTTCTACTATCTTAATGGCCTTACACCATCCCTCAGGTTGTGGTCAGGCTGTGTCCTCTGCTGTCCAATCTTCACCATTCATTTATCTTTTTGTTGTTATTGTTTTTTTCTTCAAGACAGGGTTTCTGTGTGTAGCCCTGGCTGTCCTTGAACTCACAGAGATCAGCCTCCCTCTGCCTCCTGAGCACTGGGATTAAAAGTGTGCCCTACCACTGCCTGGGTTTAACCACCATTTTTTTGAGCACCTAGGGTATATTAGCCACTGTTTTGAACACTAGGGATCTGTAATTGTAATAAAAGCTCAATAAAGGTTAGTAGTAGTATTGTCACTGTAATTACAAAGAAGCCTTGGGCAATGTTTCCTAAAATGCAGTTTGGAGATCTAGGCAGGGCAGATGATGTTTGCCTATTGTAACCTATTGTCTAAAGTTGAGGATGATTCACTATCTTTTTTTTTTTTTTAACCCCCAGATGGGTTTTTCTGTCTGTCCTGGAACTCATTCTGACTGGCCTCAAGTTTAGAGATCCACCTGCTTCTGCCTCCTGAGTGCTGGGATTAAAGGTGTGAGCCAACACTGCCCCAATCCTTTGTTTTTTAAGTAGATTCTTTTACTCAGAGTAAAATCTTAAGTGGAACTTAAACCCTTCCAACTCAAGCTCATCTCTACCACAACCTCATCATTTGCCATCATCTCACTCACTCTCAGTCGTCCTCACAGCCATCCTACAGCACACCAGGCACTTCTGTCTTAGTACCTGCTCTCTGCTTTCTGAGCTTCAAAGATCCCTTTATCTCTTTCAGAGCTGTGTTCAATTCTTACCTTGACAAACCATTGGATCTGAGAACTCTAGATCCCTCTTAGCCCTTTTACCGTCCCTCATCATTTTATCACCTGTCATTGGATATGAGGGTAAGGTCTTTGGTGTTCGTTTTTTTCCAGAGACCAGGTTCTCACTGTGCAGCCCTGAGTGCTGGGATTAAACAAGTTTAGGTCCAGGAGATTGAACCCAACAGCTCTACACCAAGGTTGGCCCACTGCTTTTGTCCCAGCACCATAATGCCTATGGTATGGTGGGTACTCACAAAGAAACGACTCCTTGACTGAATGGTAATTTATCACTATCACCACTGTAACTCTTTTTGATGGTGTTGGTGATGAAACCCAGGGTCTCAGCTTGACTTGGTGGTTTACACTTGACATCTAAGCATGAGGCAAGACAACTGAGTGAATTTGAGGCTTAAATGAGCTACATAGAATTCAGGCCAACCTGAGCTCCACAGTAAAACTGTGTCTCAAAACAAACAAACAAACAAACAAACAAACAAACAAACGAAACAAAAATAAAAACCAATGAGCCAGGGGCTAAAGAGATGGCTAGTGGTTAATTAAGAGCATTTGCTGCACTTATAGAGGATCCATATTGGTTCCTAGCACCCACATGGATGCTCAAAGCCATCCCTAACTCCAGGTTCTAAGGGGATCTGGCCTATGTGGGTACATACAGACACACACACAGTATATATACATACTGGCAAAACACTAATATACGTACATAAAAAAAATAAACTTAAAAAAACAAAGCCAGACGTGGTGACCCACACCTTTGATCCCAGCACCTTGGAAGCAGAAGCAGATGGATCTCTTGAGTGTTTGAGGCCAGCCAAGGCTATACAGTGAGATCCCATCTAAAACCAAACCAAACACCCCAAACCCAAGTAAGTAAGCAAATAGCATAACCTCAGGGTCCTGCCTATACTAAAGCAACTGGTCTGCCACTGAACTGCTGCCCCAGCCCTCAGGATTATTATCAGGGTCTTGTTCTTATCCCCCATCCAGTGGTCAGCATCCAAACTTGCAGGTAGGAAAAGAAGAAAACAGGGACAGGTTTCTCCTTGACCACATTTCTATTCTGTCACTCAATAGGAGAATGGGAGGAAGCACTGTATGGTACAAAGCTGATAGAAGGGCAATTAGGGGCAGTCAGTCAGGCCTCACCTGGGTGAGCTGCATAGCACGTAACACCAGTGCCCTCAAGTTGGTTGGCAAGTTCCCGGGCAAAGAGCACATTGGCTAGTTTGCTGTCAGCATATGCCCGAAGCTCCTGTTGCCAGCCCACCACCGGGCAATCCAGACGTGTGAAGTCCAGACGACCACGACGGTGGGCAGCTGAGGACACTACCACCACACGGCTGGGGGCACATGATTTTAGGCGGGGTAGCAACAAGTGTGTCAGCAGAAAAGGGCCAACGTGGTTCACTCGCAACAGAAGGTTAAAGGTCTCCCGAGTCCGGCCACAGGAACTGATCCCTAGGGAAGGAGCTAAGCATGAGTTGCTGGTTTTAGGTGCCCCATGGGTCTTGAAGACTCCCCATCGACATGTGTCTGCAGGCCCCTGGAAAGGCCAAGCTGGAGGGACTACCTCTCCAGGCCACCAGCCACCCCCCAGCAGGGCTTGCTGCTTCTCACCTGCATTGTGGATGAGGATGTCCAGCCTTGGCTCAGAGCTCAGGAAGGCAGTGGCAAAGGCCTGTACCGAGGCCAGACTGGCTAAGTCCAAGGCCATGAAGATGACCTCATTGTTCCCACTTTCCTGTGGAGCAGCAAGGGCTAGGATTGTTACCAGGTACCTCCCTTCTCCTCCCAGGCATCTGAGGGCCTGCCCACTATGACTAAAACCTACCCCAGTGCATCAGAGTGTGACAGGTGTGTGGATTCAAACCTCAACTTTGCCTCTAACTAGACAGAATGTGACTTCAGACAAGACAATCTTTTGGGACCTCTGTTCTCTCACTGTAAAATGACATGATGATGATAATACTTCCTACTAAAAAAGAGTTGTGAAGATTAAATCAGAGATTTAAGATTAAATTAGGTCTGGTGTAGTGGCAAACACTGGTTATCCTAGTTATTCAGGGGTCTGAGGCAAAAGGACCATGAGTTCAAGACCTGCCTGAGCTACAGAGTTAATATAAGTAAGACACTCAGCACTGTGCAGATATGTTATTATTGTCCCCTCTGTGAATTATCCTTCACCTTAAAATCTACTACATACAGCCTTTCGCCTCTGCTCTGTAGCCCAGGCTGCCTTGGAACTCATAAGCTTCCTCCCTCAGTCCTGTCAGTGCTGGAATTACAGGTGTGCACCGTGACCAGCTGTAACAGACTTTGGTCTTAAGCACTTTTTCATTTAACTTAATTAATTTAGTTTTTGGAGGCAGGGGCTTACAATGTAGCCCTGGCTGGTCTTGAACTCACAGAAGTCCACCTGTCTCAGGCTCTCAAGTGCTAGGATTAAAGGTGTGTGCTATGGAGATCGACCCTCTTACTCTTGTTTTCTGTAGTCTAAGTACCACACAACTATAGGAAATTCGTTTTAAAAAGCCATAGGGATGGATGGCCCAGAGTCTACTGAAGGGTCTTCTCGGAGCTCTGCTGTCTTAAACTCCTCAGTGGGATCTGTAAGGACCTCTAGAAGCTGGCTGTGGCTCAGAGCCCCTTGACGACATTCCTCTTCTCAATCCGCGCCTCACCCCTGCCATACTCCCCCACCCCCTGTCTCTCGAATCAGACTCTCTTGTCTGAGCGTTTGCACCTGCTGTTCTTTCTGAGGCTTCATTAGCCTAACCATTTCCTTTGCCCAGGATGGCCTTGAGCTCCCGGCCCTGTGCTGGGAGCACACCTGGCTTCATTTACTCTTTCTGATCCTTAAACACCTCAAGACTAGCAACTCCTTTCTTCAGTAAGCCTTCTGTGGGATTTGGTTCTGATGTTCTTCCCCTGTGTGTCCACCGTAGTCCCCACATCCTCTTCCGTGTTTAAGTGCGGCTGTCTCCTCTCAGATCTTGATTCCTGGTGTCGCTCTGCTCCGCCCTCCGTGTAACAGGCTCACCGCACCCGCGTCCCCGTGTGGCCTCACCTGGCGGAGGTCGAAGACGGCCGCCTCCCCGCGCTCCCGGCTGCGGCAGGCCAGCACCACGCGCGCTCCCCGGCGCGCCAGCTCCAGCGCTGTCATCTTCCCGATGCCGCTGTTGGCGCCTGCGGGCGGCGGGCGGGAGCCAGCTGAGCCGGTCGGGCCGCGGCCACCCGCCCGGCCTCCCCGCCGCCCGCCCGCGCGAACTCACCCGTGACCACGGCCGTGCGACCCCGCAGGCTGCCGATGCCGCCGCATGGTGGGGCCTTCACCAGGTTGTAGTAGACAAGCACGTAGGCGCCCAGCAGCAGCCCGGCACCCAGCAGCAGCGTCTCCATGCCGACTGTGCTCCTGGCTCCCGCCTGGGCCTCGTCGCTCCCGCCTCGGCCTCGCGAGGGCGGCGGCAGGCGGGCGGCTAGGCAGGGGGGTGCGCGCGCGCGTGGGCCGGGCGAGCGCCCCCAGGCGTGCGTCTGCGTGCCCTGGCGGCGTGCCTGGGCGAACATCTTGGAGTCCTGGGAGCGCCCCCTAGGCTCGTGAACTCCCGGGAGCGCGTGCCAGGTATGTACAGGAAACATCGGTTGGTGGGTGTGTGGCCCTTAAGATCACCTGATGCTCAGGGCTTGGGAGAGCTTCTGGATTCTGGGCGCACGCAAGTGTGAGAGCTCTGCGTAGGTGTCTGTGCCCATGGCGGGAGTCCCTCCAGGCTGTGCATGCATCTGTAGTCTCCACCAACGCGTGTGATTGAATGAACATCTCTGTTTACTCTAGGTGTGAGTGTGTAGCTCAGTGTCTCAGTCTGGAGTCCTGTGCACATGAATGGGCCCGTGTGTTGGGAGCTGAGTCCTGGGTGTTTTCCACTCAACGAACCGACTCTTTGGATTTCTCATCATTATCCACCCTTCAGCTTCTAGGACTCTCCCCGTACAGGCCGGTGAGGCTTCTCATCATGGCACTGACAGGGTTGGTACAGATTCAACCATGTGATTTCTTGACTCTATGACCCCACCCCTTCGTTTCGTTTTTTTGAGGTAGTTTCTCTAGGTAGCCCAGGCAGATCTTAAACTTAAGATCCTCCTGCCTCAACCTCTAAAATAGTGCGTATTACAGAGATGCTCCTCCATCTCTGACCCCTGCCTTCTAAAAGGAAGAGGCAGGCAGTAAAACTGTCAGGAGGTAATTCGTCTGTGGAACAGTTCTCATAGAAGTAGGTAGATGCCCCGTTACTCATATAAAGAACTGAGGGTAAGACAGGAAGGGACAGCTAGGGAGGCGTGGGTGCAGGCATTCGAGGTAGGACCTTACCTAGGACAGTGACTTAACACTTGTTGTATGTCATGCTTAGCAGTATGGAGAACCTATTGACACTGAGCAGAACACAAAGCTTCTGCCTTTAGGAGTTTGAGAAGTCCTTCTGCAGTGGAAGTAGAATGGCACAGTCAAAATTACATCTGTATTTTGGAGTCAGGACCAGATTTCAGAGACCAGAGGAAACTCCCTATTTAACTGCCCTGTATCCTTGGAGCACAATTATAGATGCTATGGATGAAAAACAATCCTCCAGTCTCATCAATTGACTAATAAAGAATAGGTACCACTCAGAATACTGCCCAAACACAGCTGTTTTCTAGGAGATCGATCTCAGGAAGAACTTCCATCTTAGTCTCTGGGAAGCAATGCCCAGGGCTTTAGAATTAGGGTAACAAGAGTATTTCCTGGTGAGAACAGTAGTTAAGTCATTCAAGGTACACAAGAGTCACAGTCTAGAGCAGCATTCTCAGCCTGTGGGTGGAGATGCTTGGGGTGGGGGTCATATATCCTGTATATCAGATATTTATATCTCAATTCATAACAGTAGCAGAATTAGCTATGAAGTAGCAATGAGACAATTTTATGGTGGATGATCACCACATAGTGAACTGTATGTATTAAAGGGTCATAGTGTTAGGAAGGCTGAGGGCCACAGCTCTAGAGAATGGATTTTACCTTATTACAATTCTCCAGAGAAACAGCACGCCTAAAAGCCAAGTGTCTCCATTTCCATTCCCCTCGTCCAGCTGAGGCTCCCTCCACTGACCTCTTCCCTCGCTACAGAGCTTCCCTTGGAGGCCTTTTGAGATTGGTAATTGTTCAAAGGGTGCAAAAAATGATATCCCAAGGAGGGTCCCCTCTAAGGGTGATGACAGGTAGGACAGACAGGCAGAAAACATAATTTGAAGTATTTTTGGTTTTTTATATACAGAATACAGGAAAGTTTCTGTAAAGTCTAAAACATTACAATTACTATGTACATCGGTACTAGTTGTGGAGAAGAGAAAGGAGGGAACTGGGTGAGCAGGAAGAGCAGTGGCAAGAGAACAAAAAAGGACACGGAACAGGTTTACGACAAAAACGCCTTTGCTACAATAGACATCTGAGAAAAACACTCTACCACATGTACTGTACAGTTTTTAAAAACATTGAAAAAATGCCATCACTAGATGTATTTACACAAAATCCAAATACACTTTTCCTTATTTGAAATAAAATAGATGGACAGCCAGAAAAAGAATTCATTTCTCATTTGTCCATATACACAGTAGCTACCTGTAGTGCAACCGCTGCAGAAAGGGAGAGTAACTTGAAGGGTGGGAGCCGTGGAAAGGGGTGGGTAGCGATCTTTATATTAAATAAAACAATGATATTGTATAGATTTTGCTGTATGAAAACTGTATTTTTCTTTTAATATAAAACTATTGTCACTGCCACAAAATAGAACAAGTTTCTGATTATTTTACAACAGCGGGCAGGTGGTCGAGGGGGAGAGAGCAGAAGGCGGGGGAGGGGTTGTGCTGGAAGTGTCCAGACAAGAGTCTTCCCCTCCCTGCCCATGCCGTTCCTCAGCTCGGTCTGCCGCTTTCCCATGAAATGTTGAGTACAAATATATGTGCAAATGCCCCCTAGAACTTGAGAAAAGAAAAAAAAAGTCTTAAAAAACAGTCAAAAGGTTTTCTTCATTTCATGCAAAGATTGTAGTTGAAGGGTTTCTGGTATAGAAAACACCCGGGCTTGGTTCGTGTACATTTTTGCATTGCAGGAGTCTTGGGTGGGTGTCTAGGCCAATGACCTAGGGAACGGAGTTAGAGCGCAGCACAGGGCCCTGATGGGGCTTGAGAGAGAGCTTCTCAGTCAAAACCCCATCCTGCAGCAAGCTGGCATCGCCTTTGGGCTGTTTGGTCGCAAACTCAGTGATGCTGAAGACGAACTGCAGGCAGCCCAGCTTGATGTAGCTGCCATGGTGCAGCAAGGCTGTGCCCTCCCAGCCAGCCCCACTGCCCCCGATCAAGCTTGAGCTGCTGGCTTTGCAATTGCAGGGTCTCCGCTGTGGCCCCTGGGCCTGGGAACTCATCATGGCTGCCTCCTCACTTGGCTCTTCATCCTGTTTCTGGTGTCGGCGGCGCCCTGGGAAAAAGGGGGATGATCATAGGAGGGGAACAGTGAACAGCTGACCTATCTGGGCTGATTGGCAGAACTGGACCCCTGCATCTCCCCATTCTATATACTATATAATCAGGGCTGAGGGATGCTCAGAAGGGACTGGTGGAGTCTCAAGTCCCCAGAAAGGTCTGATACATATGTGGGTGTTCAGCACTTGATTCTTGGTGACCTTTCCCAGGCCCACTGACAATGAGCGTGGCCAATGGGGCTGGGAAGGCAAAGAACTGTAGGTCATTGACAGCATGGCAGAACCAAGGTGACTGGGGCCTTGGCTGTATGGTCACAGGCCTCTGCTCCAACTTACTGATGACACTCTGCACTTTGGCAACAATACTGCTTGGGGGGGTTGGCGGGGTCTTCTCAGAGAAGTCACATGAATACAGCACATTGTCCACCGTTGTCCCGTGCTCACTGTAGTTTAACAGCTCATAATGTTTGGTATTCTGAGGAGGAGGGGGGAGACATGATGTGTGGTTGCTGTGTGAAGCCTTGGGCGAAGGGGAGAGGACCTAGTACTTACTGCTCTACCTAGCAAGCTCTTATACTCTTCCTTAGTTACAGCCTAGCTCTCTCAGAATTCGTCAAGACTTAGTGAAAGACTGCCCTGCTGACTCCATATCCCCACTCTTTCTCTGTTGATCTGATGTTCACTTGCACATAATTATAATGAAACTCAGGGGCACATCCTTCGGTTTTGGTCCCTTCCCCTGCTTTGAGGTGGCCTCCCTCAGTTGTTCATGTGAGCAACACTAGTTGCTGTAATAATAGCCCGTTCCTGTAAGCAAATTGCCATGGTGGAATGCCCTTTCACACCATGGCATGTCCAAGACAGACAGAAGGAGAGGAAAGAAGTCTCTCACTCTTGCCCCCATCCCAGAGCCCAATTGCTAGGGAAACATCTCAGGTTGGGAAAACTCCCCCACCCCCACCCATCTCTTCCCCTCACCTCATCGTAGAATATGCAGGCATGTTTCCCGGACACGTAGTTACAGTGACCATAGTTTGTAAGGCACACATCCATGTCAGCTCCTGCAAGGTGGCAGGAGTCAAGGAAAAGGCAGAGAACAGACTGTAAGGTGTATGTGTAGGGGAAGTGAAAGAGAATGGAGTTAGCTTCTGGATGGCTGCTAGTAGAAACCTCAAGGTAGCTAAAGCCCTCTTTTTTTTTTTCCTTTTTTGTTTTTTGGTAATGGGGTAGCTTTGAACTCCTGACCTCTCTGCCTCTATTTCATAAGGACTGGGATTGTAGATGTGTGTCACATATCCAGCACTTCCCTTTGTTGTTCTAAAGTTAATGTGCTTTAGAATATGTGGCCCTTACCCAGATGGAGCAGTGAGTTACAAAAGAGGATAATGCATCTAAGTGGACACAACAGTGTATCTTAAGCCATACCACTTTAAAGGGCAATTTCCAGGATAAGGGGTGACCTAGGTGTGGCCCACTACACCTGTAGTTTTAGTACTTAAGAGACTGAAGCATGAGTGCAGACATAGTTTCAAGGCCAGCCTGGACTATAGGAGACCCTATCTTAAATCAGCTCCATGACCAGAAATAAACAAATAAAGGAGGGCTATGTGTGAGCCTATTACACTCAGGGATAGGAAGTGACCTCTTCCTGAAGTCCCTACAGTGTTTCAGATGGTACTGAGTGAGCAGCAGCTAAAGCAAAAGGTCTGAACCAAGGGAAGTACCCCACTGATTGTCTAGGTCCTTAGTCTCTCTTGTCTGGACAACCACTGGTTAGACCCATCAACTCCTGAAAGGGCTTCTGTAAGTGTCCATCAGGCTGAAGATCCAGTGCCCCTCCCAGTTTCCTGGCTGGCTCACCTGTCCCGATGTAGAGGGTTCGATAGCACATGTTCACAGCTCCTCCCAACCCTAAGAGGGGGTAGAACACAGCTCGGGCCTGTACCTCCTTTCTTTGCACTACAAGACAAACATAGGGATAGGATCATTCAGA